AGATAAACAAAGGCAGAAGTAGTTGAAGTCTAGTCTTACCATAGCCACCCAGGGGTAGGAAGTGTGTTAGAACTAAAGAGAACCTCCCCTCCCCCCGCCCTCATCTTTCAACATAGGCTGGCGGTATTCTGAAGTCCACAGAGGTAACCTGGGCAGGGCAGGTAAGACTGAGATAATGCAGAGTGCACAGAACACAGGCAAGCACTGATTTTTCAGCAGGATCAACACGTATTTGCTTGCACATATGTGATCGATATAAAACAACACTTTCAATAGTATATTTAACAGACCAAAAGGGGTCAAATAAGTTCACTGTTACATTGTTTACATCCATTTTAAGTGTAAAAGAAAACACATACAGTATACTTCTATGGAAACATCTCCTGTCACACACACACACACACACACACACACACACGAGTATGTAGAGTAAAGCAAGACAGCTAGAACTGGATGCTCATAGTTTTTAAAATGTGAAAGAGATGGGTGCTAATAAGTGAAGTTATCCGGTGCTATGCAAAATAATAACGAAATAACTGTGATTATGGCATTTGTGAAGGCTGCACAGTAGTTTACGATGGCTAATATAGTATATACATCCCAGGAAAGTGGTGCAGCACAGCAGATGTCTTGGAAAGGAAAGTGTTAAGAGATGATGTGAGAGGATGACGGATTTAGGTTATTAGTATATCAGAAAACACATTTCTACTACCATGATTAGCAATTTTAACTTCAGCAAAGAATTATTCTTCCGTGTTTACATTTCCATATGAGATTTTTTTTATAAACACAAACTAAGGATGACTGAAAAAGTCTCACTAGAACTTTTTGGTTCTTTGCCATAAACCGTTAAAACTGCATTAATATAAATGTTCTTCAACTAGAACACTATCCACCATATGATGGGAGGACAAACTAAATTAACCATGGGTCTTTTCCTTTACAAAGTTAATGTTATTTCAACAAGTCTGTAGAAATGCAGAACAGAATTTATATTTATTTACAGCTAATATGAAATTATCAATCCAAAACTCAAATTTAATGCTTGAGAGGAAGTTAATTCCGTTGAGCTATGCACTTAAATTAGTAGTCTGCAGTCATTCTGATTCCCACTTTCACAACAGACTGCAGGGCTGAATTTACATGAAACATTTCACACTTAGACAATATCACTGCAACAAACGGGACGTCAGACAAAGCATATACTAGGCACACACACAGGTTTTTCTTTTTCTAGTCCCAAAAGTAAAGGGTATAATCATGAAACCGTATGCCCTGGTGTCTCTGCAAGCGGCCTAAATAATATAGAGCCCTGGGACTGTTATTAAAGATAAAGGAACATGGTTAATAAACTCCACAGGGATTATATTTCTATGTATAATATGACATGAGGGCTTGAGTTGAATAACGCATGTATGCTGCTCTCTTGAGCTCGAAATAAGTCATGTGTAGCATTGAAAAAGGCCTGCAATTAGGGAAATGACAAAGGTTCCAACAAATGTGTCGTTATTGCTCAGGGCACTCTAAAGGCAATAAGCAGGGATGTTACTATAATAAAACTCCATCTAAACAGAAAAGCAACAAGATCCTCAAAAGCAATTCGCTGACCTGGGTATTTATGGAAAAAATGCATTTAAAGTCATCCTGGAACTATTTTTTGTTTGGGAAGATGCAGAGCATGGTGCACACATACAGGCCAACAGGAACAGGGTCAGAGTGGACAAACAAGAGTACACTGTGTGGCCAGCTGTTGGTGAATGGCTTTCAGTGGGGTGTCAGGGACCAGATGTGCTTGGTCTTTGCTAGAAGGTACAAATGGACCTGTGTGGCAAGGCTACTACCAGCATGCTACCCACAGAACTCCCTATGTGGGTAAATGGAGACAGACAGGGAGGCAGGAACAGACAAAGTCTCAATATACAGGTGACAGACAGAATCAAACAAAGGTTGAAGAAGTCAGGAGAGTCTAAAGCTAGTCATACACTATGCAAATCATCAAGAACTGGCAAAAATGTGTACAGTGGCGGCCACTGTCAGAATACAATGAAAGCAGCAAGGGATTCCTCCATCAATGATCGTAAGAGTTAATGGAGAAATCTGTTATATTTTCTTCATTCAACCCACAGGAACCAATAAAGACAGCCAAACAGAACATCGCTTACAGAGAAAGAATACCAGATTCAAGGCAATGAAGAGAAAAACAGAACAGACCTGTAACAGCATGCAACTGCTCAAAAAGGTCCAAGGAGGTAAGGCTGTCACTGCCCACGCTGTAAGCCTTGACAATTATTGCACAGGCACTTTCTATTTAAGTGTATCTATAGTCAAAATGTATTTTTCCATTTTGGATACAGTAGGGAAGGGTTAAAACCCCTGCCTGGTTAGTTTTGTGCTGTCTGTGAACCATAGGGGAAATTTCCCTCCAGTTCCTGTCCCTACAGCAATTTACTTTAGTGTACATTACTTTGCTAGGTGAACAACATCTACTTTTGTAAGACTTTACCTTTTTTTAGATGCATATCAACTGAATTTGTCCTCTTTTTGCAGGGCAAACCTAAGAGGCTAGGACCAAACAATGGTTTACCTAGGGATGCCTTTCAGTTTTTTTTAAATTAAGAAAGGTTTTATTGAAAAACATAATCTGAACAAACAAGTAATATCAATTAATACAACTATCAAACATAGCTAGGTCAGACACAGGTGAAAACCAGCCATAAGACAATGCGTGAAATATGAGAATAGTCTATAAAGTTACACAATAGTACTGAAAAAGCATACTACAATAATAAAATAAAAACCGTAGGCATATTGCCTCATCGTGAGAACCGTCTAGCTTCAGTGTGAGTAAGTACCAAATGTCAAAGCAGATAAATAACAGAGAGCGATAACTACCAGTAAACGATCAAAGGTATGCATCTCATCCAGATGCCGTGGCATTAAAAAAAAACAGTATTGAAAGTGTCAAGGTGTTGTAACCAGTTCACTTTGGGGGCTCGGAACTAGAAAAAGGAGGAAGTAAAGTATTCTGCTGGAAAAGGAAACAGGAGCAGCTCACAAGGAAAGATAGAGAGGACAAGAAGAAAAGTGTAGGATACCGCACTCCGCGGAAACGGTGACACCCCAAACAGAAGTATCCATGACCTGGACTTGAGGTTCAGATGTAAAGACAGTCTCAGGATCCCAAGAGCAGGATTAAAACACCACAACAGGGGGAGCCGGTAAATCAGATATTGCTTTCAGATGCCTTTCACTTTTCCCTGAATAAAAAAACAACAACATTTTTCTGTTCTAAAGGAGACATTTTTGCAGTAGTCTGGTTGGAAATTCTTAATCCCTTCCTTTCTAAAACAAATATTTTATGTAGTGATTGTGTTAGCATATCTCACTCATTACAGATTCAGGCAGTGAGTTACCCACATATGTACTCAAGCAGTTTATTAACATAATAATTTAATTTTTTTTGCAGTGGTTGTGCTTACCTCAAAGAATCAAACATTCATCTAGAAACTATGAAAAGCATTTAAGGAGAACAATGGGGAGAGTGGAATGCCCCATAGTTAGAGCCGATGTGTGACACTGCAGCTGGCAAAAACAGAGCAATCACAAAGTGCTGATCGCTCAGTTTACGATGTTCTCCCTGCAGAGAGTGATGACTGTCAGTCACCACTCCCCACAGGGATTACCCCCTCCCCTATCTGTTATTTCGGTGCTCATTTGAGGGACAGACAGGTGAGAGAGCGGGCAAAGCTGGCTCTGGCTCTAGAGAGGCAGAGCCAGCTGTCAATCATATAGCGGCAATATATACCTGACAATATTGTCATGATCTTTCCTGGCTGCAGTGTGGCTCTGCGCTGTTAGCATATAGTGGGCAGTAGCCCACTATATGCTGAGTTTTGGGTCCTCCTGTAAAAGGTTTGGCCATAGTTCTCTTTTTAAAAAGCTATATATATATATATCTTCTTCCAGCTTCCCCTCCAAAAATGTTTAACACAACCAGGAGATTTATTACCAGCCTTCCTGTCTGGACTATGATGATGCTATTGATGCTGCACCAGAAAATAAGAGAAATGAAAAAAACATTATTTTCTTTCCTTTTTTTTTTGCCCTCCCTTCCTGGTTCATGTTGCCGATGCTGCTGTAGTGCTGCTGAATATCGGGAAAAAAGACAATTATAAAAGAACATTGTTCTTTTCATTATCAGTCTCTCTGGCCCCTCGATCTTGCTGTTGCTGCTCGGTCAATGCAACTTCAAAGAAAAAAATATTTTAAGATGATTTAAGCAAAACATAGTTCATCCCATAACGTTTGCCTTCTGACATCTTTCTAGACGCATGCACAGGTCAAACTTGCTATCATTTGGGAAATGAACAAGGGTGGTTTTATAAAAAAAAAAAAAATAATAATAATTCTTTGAAAGTCACTAAACAGGATTATTTTTGGTTTGTTATCGGATTACAGAGGGGAAGCAGATTCATTATCTGAGAAGGTAATTTTTTTGTTGTTGTCTATTTATAGTTTTATGTCTTCCTTTGCCCCATTCACACCTAGGCGTATTGTAATATGCGCGTCTGTCGCGCGACCGTCACGCGGTTTTTTTACCGCGAATCGCGGTAAAAAAGTTGCGCGACCGTTGCGCGATTCCAAAGGCTACTTGGCTGTATCCCAATGGAAAACGCCCTACAAAACGGCCCAAAGTAGTCCCGGGACCTTTTCAGGCGTGGGCCGTTTTGTAGGGCGTTAGGGACGGGCGGAAATACGCCTAGGTGCGAACGAGGGCATTGACTACAATGCTATTTATTTTTTTTGACCGTTTTGTAGCGCGTTCGTCGAGCGTAGGACGCGCTACAAAACGGTCAGGTGTGAACGCAGCCTTAGAGAACAACATCTGCCAAACATATAAATACAACACGACAGCAACAAAATAAAAAGGTACATTAGAAAGTCAGACATTTTTCACAGTCAGCAGCAGAGTCACTTCCATTATTTATTAAGTTACTTACTTGTTGGCTCCAGGAAATCTCACTCTCTGTAAGCTGCTGTTTTTCAGCTATTAACTCACTATAGAGCTTTTTATCCTCTTCAATCTTTCTGTCGGTGTCCATTAAGTCTGAAGAGCATTTAGCCCATATAGTCTCTGAGTGGCTCAAATTATCCCTGTACACGTAGGGGAAAGAAAGCATGCAGAAAAGTTACAGTTAGTGTAATCTGCTGCATACTGTACATGGTCAGAAATGAGCCTCCAAAACAATGTTGCTTTCAACCCTTTAGAAATATTGTCATAAAAATACTTATTTAGAACATGTACCCATGTCCATCTTCCACCATTCTATTTTGTATTTTAGAAACAGAAGAAGGAGTGTATACAAAGATGAGTATTCTCCATGCACTCAAAATGTGTTATCTTTAGGGGAACACTGATGTATAATTTGTGATGTCATCAGTCTGCTGCAGTCTTCCGGAGCATAGTAATAGTTTATGTCCACTTATGAAGCCAGACTGGAATAATATCTATTTTATATTTTATACATGTAGCTGTTCACAAAGCATAGTTTTAAAAAAAATTGCTGCTTATCTTTTAATTTGCTGAAATTGTTTATTTAGCTCTCCCTGGTATATAATGTTAAGGAGGTGACTGGGGAGTAATGTTTGCCATAATTAACCCAGTCTGTACTGTGCTGGCAGATCTCTATTATGAGCTGTAAACTATATTTGAACACTGTATGAACTAAGAGAGTTAAGGATCTCAGGGCGAGGATGGTACATTGTATTTTAAGTCATTGTTTAGAAAAATCTGTCCCTTATCTGCACAATGCTATCTATTCTAACTAATAGAAGCTACCTGTAGTGTTCCATGTATAAACCTTGTCCAAAGAAACTAGAAAGCTAGGAGATATTTTTTTAAATAGGTATGCTGTGTGAATGGGATTTACTTTTCAGCACCAAAACTTCCCTCTACTGTAGCAAAAAACGCTTTTATTTAGTTTAAACAAAACTAGTCAAAATGACCATGCAATTTCTGCTGACAATCAATCATAACTGATCCCAGCAGAATGCATAGATCTCAGTATGTGAGTTGGACAAAAACTGAATACTTAAAGGAGAACTATGAGGTGAGTGCTTTTCACTCACCTCATAGTTCTAGCCGACCTGTGGCAATGAGACAGTCACAGGTCGGCTCAGTAGATCGGGAAGTGAGCGAACACATACCGGCGTTCGCTCACTTATTGATTCTGTCATGGCTCTCTGCTGTGACAGGGGAGGGGCTGGATTCCCCTGTCCCCACTCCGATCTGCCAGCGCTGACTGGCGGAACGGACGGGGGAGGAAGCGGGTACAGCTGGCTCTGCCTCTAGATAGGCAAAGCCAGCTGTCACTCACGCAGCTGGGCGGATCCAGATATAATTGCCGGGATCCGCTTCAGCTGCGGCGTCTCAGAATACCGCGAGCTGTAGCTCGCGGTATACTGAGCTTAGGGTGATGGGAGGACGCTAGTTTGTATCCTCCCGTTACCCTAAGGAGAACTTTGGGGAAAAGCCCTAACCCCATAGTTCTCCTTTGAAGCTCATTATATTAAATATACTTTAAAGAGACCCTGTCACAAACTTGCAGGTGAAAACAAAGAAAAATCAATTAAGTTTAATGTTTGCTTGCAGTGTGTTTCTTTCCATAAATTATTTTATGTAGCTGCTGGGGAAGGAGGGAAGAGGAATATCTCAAAAAATAAAAAAGATGGCACGTATTTCAAGACAGTATCGAACTGATAAAGTGGACACAACCTATGTCAGGTCATGTCAGTTGTCATGCAACCTAAGTTGACCTAAAGTTTAGGCAGCCTAGATCACATGGTTTCTGGCAATCTGGAGCATTGTGGGTGTTTCATGTAATTAGAAATTCTGCTAATACGGCAGTGAACAGAAAAGACAACAATTAGGAAGCACAGCCTGCACATGTAATGAGCATATGACTTCCCCCATCCAGATAAATAACTATACCATACACGGAAACCTTTCCTTTACATTAACACACAGTAATAAGATTATTTGCATTAAGCTGATCTCTAACAAATGTATATAAAAAAGACAGACTATCCCTTTAATTATCTTACCTGCAAACTTGCAGGGTCCTCTTCACTTCAGAAACCTGGACTGCCATGACACTCCTCTCTTCATTGGCTTCTGCAGTTACCTTCTCAAAACTCAATGTGGCTGCGTTTAGTTTAATCTCTGCTTCATTGAGCAATTGTGTTGCCTTTATGAAAAATACAAAGTTAGGAATAATCACATGGAGGAAATCATGCAAAAATATATAGGAGACAAATATGATGCCAAATTGTTATTGATGGCATGTTCATGGCATAAAAATAGGAAATAAATGTAGAGCAACTATTGAAAAGGAAGAGATACCACTGGTGTCCATGATTTTAATTTTAACCAGTGACAGTGTATATCATCTGTATAGTACCGTGGCTTCCATTAACCACTTGCCGTCCGCCCGTAGTAAAAAAACTGACGGACGGCACTGCAGCATTGGCGGGTTGCCGTCTCCAGACGGCATTTTTTTTCTGCTCGCTCGCGCCCCCTAGCGGGCACGCACGGGCAGAAAAGACCCGACCATTGCACACACCCGTTACCGGGTGTTTCACATATAGGCGATCAGCGGCTCCATAGCCCACCGATCATCTATATGTGCTCGTTCGCGTCCGAATCAGATCTCTGCTTCATCAGCTTCTTTTGGGGTCCACAGGTAACATTAGGGGTCCCAGAGACCCCTAATGTCTCCATAAAGAGGACCTGTCAGTGTGCCTTTGCTATTATATAGGGGGATTGTTATCCCCCTATATAATAGCAATAACAATAAGTGCAAACAAATAAATATAAATAAAAATAAATAAAAGTAACATATAAAAAAGTAAAATAAAATAAAAGTCACATATAAAAAAAGGGTGGAAAAAAACCCCAAAATGTTTAACTCCCCCACGTTTACGCGCCTATAAACGTAAATACGCGTCCGGTGCCCCAGCGCGCAAAAATTACAATTGCGCCACACATGTTACATATCGCCGCGAACGTCGCAGTGAGAGCAATCATTTTAGGGCCATCAATCACTGATAACACTAAACTGATGAGCGGTAACAGCTTTTAAAGCGTCGCCTATGGCCAATTTTGGGTATTATCGTTTTTTGAGGTTTCGCGCGCGCACGCAATTTTAAGGCTTGACATGTTTGGTGTCTTTTTACCCGACGTGACCCCGTCTTTTATATTTTACCAAAAAATTGGGTAATAATAAATGTTTTATCATTTAATATAGGGGAAACTGTTTTTTTTTTTAAATTTCGGTAATTTTTCCTTAATATAGTAAAAAAATAAAACCCCCAGTGGTGAATAAATACCACCAAAAGAAAGCTCTATCTGTCCCCAAAAAAGGGTATAAAATTCATTTCAGTACAGCGCTGCATGACGGAATAAATGTCAGTCAAAGTACCGCAGCGCTGAATACTGAAAAATGGCCTGGATGGGAAGGGGGTTTAACACCGCGGATGTCAACTGGTTAAAGAATATCCCTGGTGCATGGGTCCCTATATCACTGTAGTAGGGACCTTAATCTTTGAACATTATCAAGAGAAGGGCCAGATGTAGATACAAAAGCTCTGTAAAAATGTGTGGAATTTGTATGTTGTAAAAATAAATGTATTTATTAGTATATTTGGCTTCTTTCTGGACCGATTTACTCCATACAGTGTGTGCATAATGCATAAAATGTACACATATTGTAAAAAAGACAAAACTTACTTCAGCTTGTGCCTGCCTTATCTTGGCCATGTCATCACCTTCATGATTAAGCTTTTCATCCAGCAGAGGACGGTGTTTCTCAATAAAGACAATCTCCTCCTGTAGTCTTGTATTCACTGCTTGTGTCTTGGCTGCTTTTACCTGGGCTGTTTCTAGTTCTTGCTTCTTACGAGAAATATGCCACCGTAATTCAGAAAAATCCTGAGTACATGCATCATACTCTGTTTATAAAACATACTATGGTTAAGAAAACATGGCTGCAAAAGTATTCTAGTTCTATACCATTTACCGTTGTAAAAGCTCTCAAGGTTGTAAGCTACAGCTGAGAAAGGTTCTATTACAATAAAACAGCACGTGTGTAAAATGAATGGTATGATTGAATAAGACAGAGAAGTTTCTCATACATTTAGTGAAGATGTATCGCAATATATGTAATCATGTCACAATCTCACAGTATACACAATATAAAATGATCAAGGAGACCGGCATCATATTAAACATGAATTATTTTGTCTTAGAAAATGCTGGGCCATCCCCAACTGTTATGTTGGTGCTGCAAAGCAGATCAAAACCCTGATTGAACCCTAACAAGGAAAAATACTATGCATTTTTTTAACCCACAAGAAGAAACACTCAATTTACTGTTTATCATGGATAAGGGAATCCTAGCAGCAACTTCCTGTCTACATGTATATGCTCCAGCCAGAGGTGTATCTATGGTAAATAGCACCTATGGCAAGCACTGAAATTGTGACCCCCCCAGTTCTGGTACATTCAGACACACATCCACAGTAGAGTTGCTGAGCTGAAGATACAGGAATGCTTACATTATTGATTTCCTCTGCCGTGCTCTGCAATAGGTGATATCATCAGTCAGATATCAATCATCAATCAGAATATAAAATCTGTGTTATCCCAATTTGGCAACAAAACTGGAAACTATCCAGTTGCCATGCACAGCTGCTCCAGATTTTGTCTACTCCAGTTTCGATAAATTCCCCTTATTGAGTATATCTAATTTTTAAGTTGTGAGCTCTATGGACATTTATGTTTTTTAGCTATATGAGTTTGAATGTTTTTTAAGTTAAGGGAGCTATGAGTATATTTTTTTAAAGTTGAGTACTCTATGACTATATGTCCTTTTTTTTAAAGTTGAGAGCTCTATGAATTTATATGCTTTTTTTTTTAAAGTGATACTAAACTCAAGAGTTAAATCTTATAAATGCCTTCAAGTACCCTAGTCCATTTTAGGAACAAGCTTGGATCGGTGGCTTCTTTATAACACATGCAGGGACCATGAGGAACAAAAGTAGCCACCCTCCAGAAGGAAGGACAGTGTCAGCACCAATTCAGAGATGATTGGAGGATCTACAGCTGAGTGATACACAAATAAGATACATTTTTGGTAATACTTATTGTACCGAAATGCATTTTTAAAGGTTTAACTCCTGAGCTGGGTTTTACTTTAAACTAAGAGCTCTATAAATATGTATGTTTCAGGACTCTCTCTGGTGTCCAATATGTATTACAGTGGCTGATACAAAAGCGGGGTTTTGATCGCACAAAGCTCTCCGCTGACCTTGCAATTTATTGAGCTCAGGCTTGCCAATCACAGATTGGGGTAACTTATACAATTTCCTTATTTCCTGAAAAAACCTTATAAACCATTGAAACTCTGAACCCAGATAACCCATTATCTGAAATAAAGTTCTATTTTACCTCATTAGAAAGCATTAATCATTCTGTCATTAAGTGTCCTATTATCGGGTAAAACATGTTTGTTTCACTTGGCTAACCGAAGTCTAAATATAGCAAGCACTGGTGTCAAGTAGCTCTTTAGTCATCTAACGGGCTTTTTATTAATTAAATTAAACAGACAACAAAGTGCAAATGATAAAACTGGTTAAAAAGACATTTAACTTAGTGTAATCAATTTATCAAGATGTTGTAATTTGTTCGAGCAATATTTCTTACATTATTTCCTATATTTGTATAAGTACAGCACAGCAAAATGGAGCATGCAAATCAGCATTAATAAGTGTCATTTAGTAAATGAGCTCACTGGAGCAGACACATGGAAATGCAACCTGCTTCCTAATGAGCACACTGCAGATCCCAATGGCATCATGAGAAAGTGAAATACATACAGTATAAACTGTCCAGGCACTGTAAAGAAACAAAAAGGGGAAAAACCAACAATGTGTTATCATACTGATGGCAGGGCTCAAGTGGAAGATTAGAGTAGCAGGAGAACATAGTAAAGATAGGAATGTACAAACTGACCAACAAGGCCAGAGGGTTTCCAAAAAACAACAAAACATGTTATGATGGATTAAGTGACCCACTTGTTATACCCTCATAGACAGACCCCTTCATATTAGAAAAAGTTGTGAAACTGAGAAATTATTTCCCATCTGTGTGTTGACAAATAACAAAGACTGTGGCATGTCAAAAAAAGTTCAGCAATGTCCTTCAACAGAAATTACTTGTATTGAAGAAATGTATATAACATTAAATATATGACTTTAAATAGTTGCTTACAATGACTAAATAAGCTTGAATAATTAAAAACAGGCCCGATCATTTTGCACATGTTTTCCATGTTATATAGGTTTACTTAAAGGCAAGACGGAGTGTTGATGAATAGCCCCCAAGAGTTTAAACAAGCTATAAGTACTCTCAGACACATCAATCCATCAAGAATAATGCCAGAATTAACAGACTGCCAGTCTAAGCCTGATGCCCCTATTCTGAGAGCGAGCATGCACTATAATCCCAGCCAATAAATGAGTAAACAGTTTGCTGTAGTCACAAAAAATTCTAACCAGCCAAAAAATATTTTTATTGACAGTGGTGGCCCATGGGCCTCTGGTACAGTTGTTTCAAAGTAATCTTGATTGCCTTCAGCTCTTGCAAAATCACAGCTAAAAATGGACACATCATGCCTATGGGTACAATTCAAGGCTGGATCATCAACTGCACTAAATTGCCATATTTTCAATTGGAGAAGGCAGACAAGACAGAAAAATAAGAAATAAAGATCACCAGGACTGTAATATATCACTGGAAAATTTAAATTTTTGTGTATATTTTATTTTGTGTTTAAAAAAAAAAGCCTGCAACATCTACACGTATTGTCCTAAACAGTATGAATTTCAAGGCACTAAAATGTGCAAATAATACATAATCAAACAATTCCTATAACTTCTAATAACCATATAATATTTGTTTTTTAATAGATCTTTTGTAGTGCTTGTGTTACAATACTACCTATGCCATTGCACTTTGTGTTCCATCATTTGACATTTATTTATAGACAGTTTATGGTTTGACAAGTAAAAATATATATAATGAATGTCCACTATATTTGATGTAAAAAAAGTGGTTTGGAAATAGCTATAGAAAGTATAATATGGGATTATTATGAAACTCATTAAAATGAGAAAAAAAAGTAGTAAAAGTCTTCATACATAATGAGGCCCAGAAAAAGCACTCAGCATAACCCCAACACTCAAGTGACAATTCAATAAAGTTCTAACAAAAGGAAAAAGTTTACATCAGTGGCCGTGAGCTCTGCATAGCTTGCTGGTATGAACGGGCCCTAAATGTTACATTCATTTATTGTGGGTTCTCTGTGACACCTCCAGACTGACATCCATGTTTAAGTTGAATGCCAGAAACACAGCTAAATATACCAGTAAAATACCTATAATGGAGTTGTTTTATCTGCTAAACAATTTGTATTTCTGTCCAGCCAGAGCTGAGATTCACAAAGCCTTGAGGGCAGCATAGCCAGGCTGGTGACTAGATTTTATCTACTGCAGTTACGCAATACAAAGCGGATTCGGTAGTGAAGGAGCAGCAAAGGATTGATGAGATCAATTCCTGTCACTGTGTTAGCACATGTTCCCTGCAGTAGAGCCTGACTGGGCCCAATGCTGCCCTAGAGGTCTACTGTACAGGGAATTTCAGTCCCTTTGTGGCTGGACGTACAGTGTACGTCTCCCGTCACGAAGGGGTTAAATCAACTCAACTTCATTTAAAAATACATTACATTTTTTTTCTGATTACATAACTTGTTTTTTAAATCTACCTAGAGACCCACTTTAACTATATGTAATGAAAATGAATACATTCCTTTGATAGTTTAAATGTATGGAACATAATTCCTATCAGGAAGAAAAAGGACACTACCTTTTTGCACAGCCTCAGGTAGATTATGCAGCTTCCACAGGGAGAGTACATCAATTTGTCCGAGTAGACCTTGCTTTCGTTTCTGTTCCAGTTTCAGAGCCTCCTCTGCTTCTTGCCGGTCAGCTTCTAACCGCCAGATCAGCTTTATTACCTCTGAAATTACAGCTTCTGTGTCAAGCTGTAGAGATACATCTGCTCCGGGCTCTGGGGAATCTGAGAAACAGGACAATTAATAAGGATGTTAGGTGCTTTATTTAGTACACACATTTTTATACTCTTTAAAGAGTAGTAGTGTTGGAAACAACAATATGCTACAAATGAAGAACATAGTGAAGGAAGGTGCTCGATTTATGGGAATCTGCCTTGAACCCAATTTATTTACCGTTACCCTAATAAGTACACAGTTCCTGGTGCACTTAATCCTTGTAGCTCAACACATTTCTGCTGAAAGCCACCATTGTATGGTATACAAGCAATTGCAAACTGGCCACCTCACCTGCAATTATACTGAACAGCTGCTTCCGGAATTGGCATTTGCCAGCTTTCCATTCCACTGCAAACGCAAAAAATAGAGCAAGCCCTATTTTTTGAGTTTGCAGTTGAACGGATCGCTGGCAAAGTTTTGCACTGCGGGCGGGGCGTGTATGCGGTGCCATTGATTTCAATGCACCGCCACGTCCTCTCCCGCCCCAGAACGCGGGGGGAAGTTTCTTAGCGATCCTGGGGCGTTCCAGCAGCTACCGCTCTGGAATGCACACGCTTTCAGTGTGAACAAGCCCTAAGGGAAACTTCCCTTGCAAATGCAAATTCCCTTCCAAAGTAAACAGTCTATTTGCCTCCAGTAAATTAACCACAAAGCATCTAACCTGAAAGCTGAAGCATGGGTTGATTGGGTAATTCGCAAGGCAAATGAGGTTCAGTGTGGATACATATAAAGCTATGCAATATAGAGATTTAAAACATGCACGCATCATACTTATAAAACTAGAAAGAGATTTATCTGCTCATTAAAAGAACCATAGGCTCAATGGAAAAAGACAAGAATTCTTATAAGAATATTACTGAGAAAGAAGGGAAGTTTTACTTCTGTATACAGAAAAGGTTATTTTCACTTTTGCAGCCAAATTGGGATAACACCTATTTTATATTTGTTACATGTTCCCATTCACATAGCATAAGCTACAAAAAAAAAAAAAAATATGCTTCTTGCAGTTTAAACTACTTTTAGGTGGGTTAAGGTTTTGAGGTTTAATATATCTACTTGCCTATCTTTCTTTGCATTGTTATGAGAGGCTGTGAGGGGTCTGAGGTGGTTTTTCCATTGCATGTTAATTAAGTGAATGAGAGAAACACAATCCTCAAATTTCAGTCCTAAGCTTTTCAATTAGGATAGATCTTAAGGAAGGTGCTGAGAAAAACCTGTAATTGGCCATCTGCTGTAACAAAACATCTAAAAAGGTAAGAAATATTTGTTTTAATTATTTTTCTTTATGTTGTGTGAATAGGATCACATAAACATAGAGAGTGGTTTTCACAAATATGACTGCAAACGTGGAAATACGTTTTAAGAGCTGTGAAAATATAGAATAGTTCAATTGCCTTTGAGGATTAGTTTTCTCCCCTGTGTAAAGTGAGCAAAATATCCACAGAGAAGTTTTAAGAAATCAGCTGGTTTTAGAAGATAAGAGATATACTGTTAAAGGGATGTTTTGCTGGAGGTGGGCTTTCTGGGCAGATATTAGTATGGGGTCTATAATGTATTATGATTTCTGTGTGGCAGGTGGCATTATTTTACCCAAAATGAATTGCTCGGAGGTTTTAATAGATTGACTTCCATCCATTTAAAAAAAGGTCGGCATAAAAAAAAAACCAATATATTTTTCTAAGATCCATTCATATAGTGTAAAATTTTGTTGCATCCCCACATCCCGTGCTCAATAGACCCTACTGATGCCATCCCTATACTGCAGCCCGTTAATTACCCCCTCCCCTAAACATCGGGTTATATATTTTTATTTATTTTTTTACAAATAAATCTTTAGTTAAAGTGGAACTGAAGTCACTGATTTAACTGTTTCCCAAAGCAGTTGCATCAACCGCTTCCCTGCCGGCCGTTGTAATTAAACGGCCGTCCGGGAGTTTCTTGGATGTAAGATGTCCCCGTCCATCCTGCTCGTGTTCGCCGCTGGGTGGCATGCATGAGCAGGAAAACTGCTTAAAAAGTAAACAGCCAGCGATGGCTGTTTACATACAAGCGGTTCAGCGGCTGTAGAGCCGCCGGATCGCTTTTAGATTGCGTGCAGGTGTGATCTCCGCTGTATCCGCTTCGGGCTCAGGACACGCAGGATGGCTCTGTCATCTGAGATCAGCGGGTGCATGACTGAACAAATGTCAGTCAAAGTACCGCAGTGCTGAATACTGAAAAATGGCCTGGACAGGAAAAGGGTGTAAACACCTGGTCTTCAAGTGGTTAAAGGTTTGCCTCTGGTCACATTTGCCACTGTGGTTATGTCAGCTCTCAACCAAACTTTCAAGTTCTCAAATAGATGGTGTCACAGCTGATCACATGTGCAGCACCATGGCCACTGCAGATGTAAATAAGGGCTAAGATGGTGTGGTCTGCAGCTGTAAAAGACAGGAGGATGTATTTCCACTTCAAATAATCTGACTGGTTACTGTTCTTCACCTGGCTCCCAGTCACCCATCCTTTTTTTTTATTTTTTCGTTGAGTTCCCTTCCTCTCATTACACACAGGCTCTAATTTTTGGTTTTGGATAGAATAGTGAAGAGTCAGAACCTCTGTTCTGTATGACACTTGTCAAATAGATGAGATTTGAGATTATATCCTTGAAAGGAAAACCTGAAGACTTGAAGTGCCACTCTGTTATGAACATATACTCCAAAAAATGTAATCAGTGTCTTGTCTACATTTATAGTGATAAATGTAAAAAAGAAAACAGAAAAAAAATTGACGAATGAGACAATGGTTAAAGGTCAAAACAGTTAATATATATTTCTGCAATTTAATGTATAACTTAAAGTGACATTAAACCCTCAGATTTTTTTACATAAAACAATAATGTAATGTGTGCCTTACTGTAATCCATGGTTGTTTCCCTTCTCTTTGCTGCTCTTCCTTTTAAATCCTTATCTATTCTCATGCTTGGGGAGAACTTCCCTTTGCAGCTGAGTGCCTCTTCCTGTAGTGCTGGCTCAGGTTGTGAACCTGCACACAGACACCATGTATCCATTTCAGAGACAAGGCAGTCTGCTGCAAAACAGAAGTTCTGCCCAGCATGAGAAGAGAGACGGATTTAAAAGGAAGAGCAGCAAAGAGAAGGGAAACAACCATGGATTACAGTAAGGCACACATTACAGTATTGTTTTATGTTAAAAAATCTGAGGGTTTAATGTCACTTTAAATAAATATAATTAAATAAAATAAAAAAGTGGAAATATTAAATAAGTTATATATAAATTCATCTATACATGATATTTGTGATAAGAGTAATAATAATAAAAAAAATTATACAATAACAAAACAATATTGAGACTTTGTAGTCAGGATATTCTCCCCACTGCCTAGACCCTTCCTCGGTGTATGCAAAATTAAAATAAAAAGTTGTGACTACAGTTGGGCTTTTACAACATTAGCCTCCAATTTGCTAAGTACCAGTTGCCTTTACAGTACATAAATGATGTTGTGAGGGCTCAAAACCTTAACAGCTGCAAAGAAATAATTCTCTGACAGGCTTTTCTCTTGCTTTCTCCTAGGAAATATATGTATATATCTGCCACTGCCAACAGACACGAGAAATAGTCAGGCCTGTGTACATTACTTGGAAAGACCATCTCGGATCCTCCATGATGACAGTGACAGATTGCAGCGGGGAGCAAAAGAATGCCATGGGTTCTGATACAGACACCTTGGCAGGTGTTCCAAGCTGTACGCTTGCTTGTTTTCAGACTGACCAGCATATAGAGGTATTGAAATAACAAATACATGCTGGGTATTGAGCCAGACTTTTCAACCATGTTTTCAAGAGCACATTTGTACAGCTTTCCGAAAGAATGTAAGCTATGTCATTATCAAGGTACACTGGGGGTATGGGACTTTCTTGAGCTGGAAAAGCAAATGGCAACCGCATTCATCGATTTATAACTAACTAAAAAATTAAGGTGCACATGGAAGGGATTTACACATTGCACACTCAAACATTTCCCAGCACACTTACCAGCTTGCCTGCAAAAAAAAGCTAACACTGTCTCACAACTCTCCAGGCAATAGGTCACCGGGCTATGTGTTCATCTGCCGGCGCAAGATTCTGCAGCCAGATGTAAACAGAATATTAACACCTGATATTTGCCTGAAGGGTGGCCCATAATCAGTATCGGTTCTGAATAAATTTTATCGGTCGACCCCTAATACCAACCCATAGGCTTTGTGCGTAGTCTTTTTAGTGTTGATTTGGGCACATTATTTAGTCAAAACATTTTTTTTTTTAAAAGGTAAATGAAAAGGGAGATCTGCTAGCACAAAAAGCAAGAGATCAATCAAATGGATTGGTAACCATTCAAGCCCAGCAATATGGATCCAGGACAACCATTGGCAGATCAGAATTACACAGATTTGATCATTTCTAGTAATTGCATTTCCTTATTTGTGTGATCAGAAGCAAATCTTATATCTAGTGAAATATGATGTACATCTACTACATTGATATTAAATAGTAATCATCAGCAGTTAACTTTTTTTGGTAACAGTGATTTTTTTTTTGTATTATGCCACAAGGTAAAGAAACAATTTCTTGGCTGAGGGCTACAAAATGTATATGATGTAAGATATCTGCTTATAATCAGTCTTCCATCTCCCTCTAGTGGCCATGATGGTGTTTGTGGCATAAATACAAACTGACAAATCTTTATTACATGTCCATGAAAAAGATGACTAAGGCTTGTTTTACACCTAGGCGTATCGAATATGCGCAGAGGGGAAATATGTCAAATAAAATATCAAACTCTTGCAAATACATACAAATGTACAAGTGTATAAACAAATAAATACATACATAATTAAATAAACTATAACAAATGAGTGGCTCTTCTCACCCGAATAGACCAAAATATCAGTACTATAAAACACAAAGCTTAGTCGCCATGAACATATACAGTATATATATATATGCAAAATTAACACACACATATTTTACAACCATATCTACAGCCCAATATGTCAAAACAGGAGAAGAATGCCACTCATTAGTTAAAGGTAAAATCAAAATTGATATAACACATGTAAATAAATAAATCAGAAGTGTATGTAATCCACAGTTATAAAAAGTGTAAGTGCACGTTAAAAACAATATAAATATAAATCGGAAAAAAATAATCACAAACTAACCTCTTGATCAATCTACAATGATAATGTATTATCCATACATGAAATATCCAATGTGAAAAAAACATTCTCAATCTAGAATATTATATAAAACATGATAAATATCCTACATTAAATATTCTAAATAAACTATTGAGACATCTCATTAATGGATATACATTGATCATTAGCATAGTCTCCTAAAAATACTATCAATTAAGCAACAGATGATTACTAAAAATCTTTCTTATCATAAAGGTCTTATAATAAAATATAAATAAAATATTGAATATCATAATATATGCTCTAAGAACATCTAAGAAATATGGTAGATACTATCTGGAAACTACACTAATAAGGCTAGTTAGGCGAACAGAGAAACTCACAAAAAGTAGCTGAAAGGTCCTAGGTTTATTTAAAATACTATATTCTAAGGAGAAGGATCTTCTAACACAGGTGTCCCAGGCAATTGCCCAGAACCTTCCTCTCAATATTTCAGAAAATGTCAAAAGCACAAATGTATTATCAAGTGATAAGACCAGAATCCATCAAAACTCAGGACTGTTCCTATCACTCATAATAATATGTAACATCCCACTCAAAGTTTAAACCTTTAGGGATACGAGTGTCTATCTTGAAAATCCAAAAAACTTCCCTTTTTCACAAAAGGGAAGCTCGATCCCCTCCTCTTAAAGGTGTATCAACTCTTTCTGTAATCTGTACCTTCATACTTTTAATATTACTATTATGATAGTGACACAAATGTTTAGCTACGTTAGTATTCTTAGAGGTTCTAATATTGTATTTCAAATATTTTATTGTTTTCATCGACACATTCTAAGACAATTACACCATATAACCGAACATTACAGTACCAATTGTACGCAACATAACATAACATTGGTTCTACCCTAAAGTGAATCCCCCATACTTTCCCCCTTTCAAGCATGGGGATTTGATCGCTAAGTGATCCCTATTATGCTTCTGTTGATATGAAACTCTTTTATACAAAATATTGCATACCACTGGTATCACATAACTTACTTACATACATAAAAAACGTGAGACCTAACACAAGAGAAGAAGAATAAAAAAATAAAAAACAAACAAAGAAAGAAAAAAGAAAGAAAGAAAAATAAAAATATGTAAAGGCCGTCAGGAAGGGAAGAGGGAGGGACAAACCCATAAGCTATAATTATAATTAGTCGGGGGGATTAGAGGTTCTAATATTGGATAAATGATCTCTCATGCGGTCACACAGTCGTCTTGTGGTCTTACCTATATACTGTTTGTGACAGACGGTACAAGAATTTATATATATAACAAATCGGGTCTGACAATTAACTAGCTGGTTAATTTTAAATGTTGTCCCATTAGAATAAGAAGTCACTAGATGATTATCACCCAAAATACTGCAGCTTGAACATCGGGCTGCATTACATCTGTATAGACCTGTTGTTCTTAACCAATTCATGCTGGGTCCTCTCTTACTTCTAAAAAGACTGGGGGAAATAATATTGTCTATGCTAGGTGCTTTCCTAGTTACAAAACGTATACCTGTATCTAGTATATCTCTAAGATCTGTATCCCCATGAAGAATAGGTAAGTACCTCTTGACAATCTTTTTAACATCTTCAAATTGTTGACTGTAACGAGTAGAAAATACTGGGGGGGAATTCTTACCCTTCTCTTCTCCAGGGGTAACCCTCCTATCCCTAATTTTCTGACTAACTATGTACAGCGGGGAAGCCATCGCTCGCCAAGATCACTTGCAATAAGCCTGCTGGTCCACCCCCCTCCATGGTCCGCTCCCACTGCCGGCTGCCCCCCTCCTCGCCAGCTGCCTCTCTCCCCGCCGGCCGCCTCCCTCCCTGCCGTGGTTTTCAGTGTCCCCCGTTCTTCAGGGGGACCCATGACCACAGCAAATTAGTTCAGGATGGAGACCGGGCAGCAGAGCGGAGAACGTCTGTTCTCTGGTGGCTCCATGTCAACAGTGAGACAGGAACTCTGTGCTGTGCTAGAACTCCTGTATTGGAGGTGACAGATTCCATAAAGAGAACCTGTCACCTCCAAATGCTATCACACAGGGGATTGTTAGCTCCTGTGTGATAGCAATAAAGTTAAGTTAAAAAAAGAAAAAAATGTAATCAGAATTTTAAATAGATAAACATTTATAAAAAGTAAAAAATAATGAGAAATAAGAAAAGAAAGGGGGAAAAAAACCCAACTCTGCCACTCCCACGATCTACATGCGAATAAATGCACACTGTTGCAGATATTCCCCTCACTTCTTGTCTGATAAAACCATAGGCAGTAGGGAAGGAAGTGGGGGTAAGTCTAACTAAAATTAAAAATACAAGAAAAAATGTAGAAAGTAAAAAAAAAAGTCAAATAAATAAAAAGTAAAAATGCAAAATGAAAAAAAATAAAAGTTTATTAAACTAAAATTAAAAATACAAAAAAATGTTAAAAAGTAAAAAAAAGTTAAATAAATAAAAATGAAAAAAATGTTTTAAAAAAGTAAAAAAAAATTAAAAGTTAAACTAAAATTAACCCCGCCCCCCAAAAAAAATGAAAGTCACCAGCCCCCGCAAACGCTTTCCTCACAAAAAAAACAAAAACCCGAAGGCAGACGGTATAGATGACGTGGCTGTGTTAGTGGAGCGAGGCACAGCCGCACAACTTAAACAAAAAAAAGCAGCCTGTGGGGAGAAGAACCCTGCAATTTAGTAAGGGGGGTTGCAATTTGACCATGTTACACCTTAGCAAAGTGTTTCAGGTGGAGCAAAAATCCACCTTCGCCTGTGTAGGCAAAAATCCTTGCACCGGCCCTGAACTCAAGGTACAATATAACAGCCCTGTGCTCAGAGAAAAGACTCAGAGTATTCAGAGTTCACTCCAGAGATATGCACAAAGAAACTCATGGTTGCTGGATCTCACTGGAAGGAGACTAGAAGTTGATTGGAACAGCTGGGAAATATAGTTCTTAACCTATGGATGCCCTAATTCAGACCGCTGGGGCTTGTATTTCTTTGCTAGCTGTGAGCTGCTGTCAGGACACCAAGACTTACCTTTTTCCTCTTTGTGGACCCTTTGCTGCCTGTGATCTGTGTGGATTCAAAGATGCGGCCAGGCCTCCAGTACTTCCCCCTCTGCCCACCTTGACCCAGGAGCCTTACGCAATTAAGTTGATAAGAGGCATAGAGGAGCTCAGCTATGAGGAAAGATTAGCTGAACTGAATTTATTCTCCCTTGAGGAGAGGTAATTAGGGGAGGATATGATCACCTTGTATAAATACATAATTGGCTTCTGTAGTAAACTTGATGCAAAGTTGTTCACTTTAAGATCATTGCAAAAGACAAGGTGGCACTTTCTGTGTATGGAGGAAAAGAAGTTTAACTGCCACATATGGAAAGCCTTCTTCATAGGGCTGGTAATGATTAAAATGTTCCTGTTCGATTAATCAAAATTTTTTTTAATCGATTAATTTCGATTAATTATAACGCACATACACATACATTGTATTACTTAATTGCTGTGCTGTATGTGTATAGGCCAATGCCAGGGATCCCAACCTGAAATAAGCAATTTCAGGGAGGTGTCCCTCTCATTTCAGGGAGGTGCCCTCTCACCCCCCATCCGCGGATACGGAAGACCCGGAAGCCGGCGGACAGGTGAGTACGGATCAAAAGAACTTTGATCGATCAAAATAAGTGCAAATATGTATTATTATGTATTATATTCTTTGAATGACAGGCAGATTGTGGTTTAAGAGATTGTGGTTCCTTATAGCTTCGAGAAGGTCAGAGATAGATAGATAGATTTAAAAAGCAGAAAAGTATAGTTCAACCACATTCACCATAAGTGACAATATGGTCTTTCCATTGATATCATCTCTAATGCCAGATAACTAGAAGGCATTTCTAACGTGCATCTATTAATCATGGCCACTTGTAATATGATACATACTGTATATAGACCTTGTTTAAAAACAGAACTTAAAGTTAAGGTGAGTACAATTCCAATTTTAGCCTCCGGTAATGATCAGCCTTGGACGTTGATAAACATAAGGGAAAGTGGTTTTATATTACTGGTGTGAGAAGGCGATCGGTAGCTGGTACATAAGCCTCCTGGGAATAAGCAGTCTCTTGGGTACAGATACCAAATCCAAGGGAGTAGTGGCAAACAGTGCAGTGTTTATTGGTGATATTTACAAGAGCATTCGCAGGTGCTGTACAGTGGTTCACAAGAAATTAACAAAATAAAAACTAGCCGTACCCCGGCACTAACTTCACAAACAAAAAATATAGGTCCTAACTAACAGGCTGAGCAGGCCTACCGCTTGTCAGCCTCCACATAAACTGTTTGCAAGTTTTCACCAAACTTGCAGCTCTCTCAGACAGGACTTGTCTGATCCCCAGGCAGAGAGCTCTGAGTACAGGTTCCAGGTGAGATTAAATTGCCAGTGGAGAGAGGAGTAAACCATGCACTGGAGCCCGGATCAGCAATTCTTAAATCTATAGGAGAGGAACCTGGGAGACCTATAAACTCCAAACAGGACTTTCCCAGGCTCCCTCTGGGATGCTCTGCTACACTGGATAAAGGGTTAATTGGACCTTTTTGTTTGATCCCAGTGCCTTTTCACAGTATTGGCAATCTTGGGTTAACATATTTTTTTTTTTAACAGCTTGAACAGTTAGGATTGGATTTCAACAGCAGCACAATTCTTGTATTGTTACACTTTATTCTTATCCAACCAATAGTTAAAAGTTACGACAGACGTTAAAATAAATCTATAAGCCTTGTGCCTTCATTGCCCAAAGGTGGATCCTAAATTTGGCTGAATTCTTCCTTGTAAGTATACTTGTTCTGTTATTAGGAAGAAACGTTCTCATATCTACATGAGTAGAGCATGAGTGCTGCTGTAGTTGGGATACTGATTGTAGTGCAATGGAGTTAACTGTTCCTAATCATGGACATAGCCTTCAGTACTTAGTGGATTCTTAGCAAAATAGTGGCACTTCAGGTTCAACATAGACTATTTTAGTATTTAGTACAGCCTTAGCCTCTAAATGAAGGATTGGCAATAATCTGGCAAGCTACTTCTGTTCCCTGACAGAATGTAAGTAGCACTCCATACTCACCCAGAGAGATGCATCTAGAACATGTATAAGTAAGACTAAATAAAGGGAAAACAAATAAATATTCTCAGCAATCCAACTTTTACACCATATAAATGACTGTACACAAAACTTACCTTTATCAAAAAGACCAACTCCCTTAATATGCAAGATTGGAGATTCCACTGGGGCATCGCTATGTTCATTTTCATTGATCACACATGATGCCCTGGAAAAGGCAATTTAAACCTTAATATAACTTTGGTATTTTTTCATCTCACATCTCATCACTCTCAAAAAAAAACTGCACAGAAAATGTGTTACTGCAAACCAGCACGATGAGAAGAAAACAAATATCTATTAAGGAAAGTTTGGCGGTATGCACGATACTTAGACAGAGTGAATTGGTAAACCATTGAGGTTTTCAAATGTGGCAAGGCAACTTTTCTAAATATGTTGACAATACTAGGTCTATGCTCGATCAGTGCCATGAAGCTTAAAGAGTAATTCCACTTTTGTTGAGAAAAAAAGAAATCCTCCAGGTGATGTGTACAAGGATTTTAACAACCTTTGTTGCAGTTTCCTACCTGCTTCTGTTGTGAAGAAAAAGCTGTGTGTTGCAGCATGTCCTTTCCAAACTGATTCCTGAATGAGAGTGTCTGGGTTAATTATAAGCAGCTGATGGGCTTCTTGTGTTGTACTAGGGAAAGGTGCCTGCATCCCTTTAGTAGTAATTGACTCTTAGGCCTTGTTCACACCTGGGCATCGGCGATTTCTGCACATTTATGTGCGCGTCTTACACGCGTTTATGGCCGTTTTTGAGTGTTTTGCTGTAAACTGGCATGTTGACCAATGAAATGCAGTCAAATCCATGACATAAGTTCTTGTTCCCTTTTTACATAACTTTCTGTTCCTGTTTCCCGCAGGTAAGAGTGTTCCCTGCTATATTGTCTTGGTGATGGATCATTATTACTTTAAGATCTGGGATGCAATGTAATATCATGCTAGCTGTTTTATATTGTGGTTGACGAGGGTCATAAAGACATAAAGACATACCTGTTCCCGAATTAGATTGAGAAAACTGTCTGTCTCCATCATATTGAGTAGTGATGGCTCCATTTTAAAATCCCAGTGTGCTCTGCCAAAAAAAGGGAGGTCTTTCCACTCCAAATGTGCTTTGCAAAAAGGGAGTTCTTTCCCGCTCAGGTGTGAACAGGGATCATTGAAATGCAAATTTTCTTTGCTGAGCATTTCAGCGCGCATAAAAATGCATGTTGAAATGCCTAGGTGTGAACAATGCCTTAGGGGGCACCTCACCTAGAATGAAATTCCTATTGAAAGGGATACAATAGGCTACGACTAAGGCCCAGTTTGGCCCTGTTTGGGGGCTGAAACATGTAAGCATCTATTTGTTTGCTGCTGTTATGCCTTTTTACAAATAAAGCACTGGATGGACGGATCCCCTTGCGAGTGCCGGTTTTTACCCAGTGCAAAACATAATACTTGTATCTTAGTGCAGACTTCTGGGAAAATCAATCAGCCAATCACAGAAGCAGGAAGTGACATTTCTGGGGGCATTCTGTCCACAGGCCACCATATTGCTATGATTTTTTTTGACAGATTTAGAGTATT